CAACAGACCCTTTTAGTCTTGGCCTTTTGAATTATTCTCTACCTTACAGAATCCAGAGGTAAAGACAAAGCAATCATTAATAACAATTTATAATATTTGCCAATGATGAGAGTGTTTTATCACAAAGGGTGATACGGTTTGATCACGTGGCACCTTAACATGGTCTGCCCAAGTGGCATAGCACCGTTTTTATAATGGATTTGAAAAGAAAAATCAACTGAAAATCCCAAGCCTTATAGGTCCACTCTCTCCTGATCTTCCTCTTGTCACACACCCATAAATGTTTATTTATTATTCTTCTATTGTGATATCTGTTCAAACAAAATTGAGTATCAAACACTAGAGAAAAATTTCTCAAGAAGAGACAAGTTCAAACCTACATATCTACCCTTTAGAACTAATACACAACATCTTTGTTATGAGGTAGTCTTCTTCCACCAGAACTGATTCAAGACCAACTAATTTAAGAGATTCTAGGGGGAAACTGAGGACTGCTTAGCTCTTGTCAGCACTTTGCATATATTGAAAGCACAAAGAAAAAAAGTGACTCTGGAAGTAGGCAAACTTTATCTCTTGCCAAATTTAGCCAAAAGTATTAGATACAGTGGATCTCGATCTTATAAACATGCATTTTTTAGTCTCTAAATTTGCATAACCACCACCAAATATTAAGACTGATTGTATCATTACAGACAACTTCAAGGGCTCAGTGAGTGCACCCTGGTGTAATAAATCTACCTACTCTGTGGCTTCCCACTTTGTGGGAAAGGCTCACCAAATGCTAAGACCTCATTTTCTCTTTACTGTCCACTGAAATTCACTATTTTATGCAACAATGAAACTATCTACAGCAGAGACAAAAGTGTCAGAGACCTGAGATTTCAGGATTTAAAGCACCGACCAGAACAGGACGGTTCCTAAAGGATCCTGATTTCCTAATAGCACATGTAATATACAGAGCAATGGAGTGAAGTTTTCAGAGAGAGATAAATTATTTTAGTTTCACTTGCTCTTTTTTTTAGCAGTACAGGGTGACAGTGAGCAGCTAATGCTCTGTGACAGATTTTGCCTGGTGGAAATTCCTTCCAGGAAGAGAGTCCTCATGGCCTGTTTCTCCTTATGGCAAATTTTAAGCAAATTAAACTGATAACCATATCTTGAAAAACAATCCTGAGGACAGCATTGCTAATAGGACTCCCAGAGGGACAGGGTCCATGCCAGCAGACCAACATGACAAGTCACAAGCAGTGCGGTACTGCAGAGAGACGTGCTGTGCATTGCAGGCATCAAGGCGATGAGGGAGCCAGCCACAACCTCGGGGGGATACGGGATGCCCATTAAATGGCAGTGAGATCTCTGCCAGCCAGAGAGGCACAGGCAGCCCTGAAGGGTCCTGGCCCCCCACCTCAGGCAGCTGCAGGGAGGACAGCGTGGCCAGACCATGCACCACTGCTTTTCACCTTTGGGTGAGCAACACGCGGATCTCTCTCGTGGGTTTCCTCAAGTGCCTATGAATGACAGCTGGTGCAAAAGCTGTCAGAGCTTTAACAAAACTGCAGCTCTGGCCACTGCTTGTCCTCTTGAAGCCACAGCTCGTCCTCTTGAAGCTCGCAGCTCTGCCCACAGGTGAGCAACACTGGAGCAGGTCAGGGCTTTCCTCCACAAGGCTCTGCCCCAGAAACTGGTAGTAGTGCCACAAGCAACAGGACAACAAAAATGCCAAAATCAAGAGGTTACAATACAGATCAACCAAGAATATGGAAACATTTTTCACAGTAAGGGACTGAAGAAGCACCAGTGGTGCAACATTGGCCTTTGCAAGATACCAAACAAGGACAAATTTGGCAAACTTGTCACAGAACACTTAACTTGAAGTCAGCTGATCACAGGAGGTAAAAAAATGCTAGAAAATTATTAAGTTTCAGCAGTTTTTCATCCTATTTTGCAATAAAGCCAGAGGGAAACCTGTAGCAAGAACAATTTACTGATGGAAAGTTGTTCAGGTCCCATCTAGAGTTTAACAAGTACTCAGCACTTTCTCTACAACTTCTGGTTGGCTTAAAGGCAGATGTTAATCTTATCCAGAAAGGACCACAAGGATGTGCCACATCATATCTTCAAGTAATATGTCAATTTTTATAAGGTTAAAAGAAGTAGGAATATACAGAAAAGCAAATCTGTTTCAGAGGATATTATATATAATGCAGGAAAACAACAACGCCTTGCAGAAAAATGCTCATCCATTAAACTATTCCTTTCTTCTTTTTATGTTGGAAATTAAAATGCTAAATCCTTCCTCTTCTTACAGAGCCAGTTCAATATAATTTAATAAATACTAAATTATTAATCATGGGGTTAGTTTTTAATTATTTCTCATGTGATAAATACTCAAAGACTCTTTAATTTCTCCATTTTAATTATTTTGATTGCTTCTAACACCAGCAAACATTGCATTCAGATGAGGAGCTATGGAGAAAATGGCATAATTGAAGTAGACAGGCAACCTTTCTGGCTTATTCTGGCTCCTTCTAAGGCCATTGGTAAGAAATGGTACCATCCTCAGCCCTCTCAGGCTTTTGACTTTGCCTACAAGGGGAGTTTTTTGGCTTGTGCTGAAAAACTGCACAGAGAAAAAGCCAATGAACAGACAGTAAATTAAGAAGCACAACTCTTTATAGCTGAGAGGTGAAATAAAAATCAAGATAATTCCTACATGTATTCCTACTGTTATCAAAAATCTTCAGACTAAGTCTTGCCATCACTGTTTGAACTGGAACTCAGATAAAAGTACTCACATACAGTAAATGGCACATTTCAGAACACATGCAGACATTTGGTTCTTCTAAAAAGAAGCAGCTTTTGCCAGAATGAAAACAAAGTACAATTACTAAAGCAAGACTAAGCAATGCTTTTTCATTCTTTTTAAAATGAAATGCAGATGTACCCTAATTCATCATTACTTAGAATCAATATCACACAGGTAGTCATCGCCAATAAATACTGGCTATTTAAGAAACATTTCTTTGAAGAAAAGAAAAACCAAATAAACAAAACCACAAAACCCCAAATAAATAAAATTAAAAATAAAACAACAAAAGAAATCCATCCAAACCCTACTTCTCATGTGCAACAGGTTCCTCCTGGAAGCACTGCAGTGCAGGACTGACTGGGTGGCATTGAGTCAATCTCACACACGTCTTTCCAGATCTAATCACATTACAAAAGAAAAGTGACATCCAGATTTCAAACACATTTTCAAAAACTCTCATAGTTTATTTGAGTAAGGAGGTAACTGTTCCCCTTCAATTTTATTTATTCTGTTAATGCAGCCTCTCAGCTGGAAAAAAAAAATATTTAATCTTTTCTGGTTTGTTTTGAGAGTCCAATATTCCTTAATACTGTTGTTCCAACACAGTTGAACTCTTAACTGAAATTTATTCAACAAACAGAGGCTCTTTGTTGCACTCAACTGTGAGGAAAACAACAAACAAGAATGCCCTTATCACCCGCAGACTAAGAGCCATATTTTAAATGTGCTTATAAATTCATAGCATGGAAGGACATCCAAACACACAACTACCAAGAAGTAACAATGTGGAACATAATTACAGCCCTCTGAATATCTGACAAGCTCTAGGTATGACATAAAGCAGTATTAGTATTGCAGACAGAAAACAAGCCAGCTCTCTCCAAATCGTAACACTTAGAGCACATGAACAATTTTGACCTGGGTCTAACCTTCCCCTTCACCACAAGCTCACGGACAGTATTCAATTGCCAGCAAGTCCCTGCTGCTTTGCTATGTAAAAGTACGGCACATAGGACAGAAGAACTTTCCTCTACCCCCATGTGAGGATTCACAAATCCCTCAGAACATTCCCATGCCTTCACCAAGCCCCCATGCTTATGAACACACTTTGATGGGAGTGCTGGCACCTGTGGTGAATGCACACATACAGATATTGTTTGTCCATATGCAATTCCTGTATCACAGGGTACTACTTTAGGAAGGTATGAATGCATCTGGTATTTCTTCAACTAAATCTTCGCAAGATACAATAACAATTGTAGAGAGAACAATGAGAGACAGGTGCAATGGAGAGGGCAAAAATTTTGCTGAGCTGTGCAGACTGGGCTTTGATTATATTTTCCAGTTGTGGAACTTCTCTAACAGACAGCTACTTCCAAAAACTTCCAAAATTACAGGGAACTCTTCATAAATCACAACTGCTCCACCCCACTGAAACGTAAGTTAAAACTACAGAGCCAGAGCTTTACAAAGTTTAAACTTCATAAAAATAAATACCTTCCAAGGTCCCCCAAAAAATTCCTGTCTCCAGGTGAATCTGCACTGTGGATTTTGTTCAGGTGGATATGGGACTATTAAAAATTTGTTGTGATGCCAGGCTGCTACTTTTAAGCACCTCAGTACAAGTTTCAGATTTGGTGGCCCCAGAATGAGCTCTCATACAACACTGACATAATTTTAACAGGAGGAAGAATGGCTACAAAATTAGATTGGAAATTCTCTGCCAATTTTACAAAACTGGCAGTATAAGGATTAAGTAGGATATATAAAAGTTACCAGTAAGGCTAAGATTAAACATCTGTGCTTTTATGTCAATGTTAAAACCAAATATAGGAGTATGTGAATTCGCATATGTGTATGCACATATACACACACTTGTATGCCATGTAAAATGGCATTTTATTCATGTAACGTGAACAGACTAATAATGAATATCTATTGCATATGTGCTTAGTGGTAATAGGAAAAAGATAACAGAAGACAGAAATTATACAGGAATGAGAGGATATATTACATCTATAAAGGAAATGCATTCATTCATGACAAATCAGAAATGTATAATATGGATACATGATATCTAAAATATAATACATATAATTTGTCTCTAGATAGATGCGTTTATATAGACACTTCCACATATAAGCAAAGAAAAGGTAACTGTTAAAGAAGTGATAAAGAAGGAAAAACATACCTGCTAATAATTCAGAATTATCAGAGTTGCAGAAGGCTCTTAAAACTGCAAGAGTAGAAAGCTGAATTACAGGTGAAATCCACTACCTATAAATGTAAAGTAATGTGTTAAAAAACACACACACACAACTCCAATCACACATGAACAGAGACGAGCTCTACAGAAGCTTAAAAGCATGACATTTAGAATCATCAAGGAAAACTATCTGAAAATGCCACCTTGATGTCCAGCATCTTAGAAAAATCTATTAGTTTTGGCAATGAGACAGAGTGGGAGGAGTTTTGCTCGGAAAAGGTTTAGACAGCAAAACAAGAATCATCATAATGTGACTTTATAAAAACACCGGTATTGAGCTCACTGGTAGCTCAAATTCTGGTTGCTGCTCGCTTTACACCATTACAGAGATGTAGAAGAGCTAGAAAAAGCATGGGGCATAACAACATGGATTCAAAGATTATACTATGACTTACTTAAAAAAATATTTTTCATCATGAAAGAGAGATGCACACAGAGTGACTACAGTAGAGGTCCATAAAATCTAAGGGTGTGAAAGAGAAATTGAGGCTCATGAACTTGAGGTAATTTAATAAAATTATTGAAAATTTTCAAATGCAGGGAACAGTTATTTTACAGATGCTTAACAGTTTTGTGGAATTCATTGTCACAACATATTCAGAAGGTCAAAAGCTAAAAAAGAGGATTATAGAAGGTAGTAAAGCATAAATCATTAAACACTATGTGCACACAGAGATCTAGACATGGAACACAACAAACTGTCAACCAGAGGAAGCTGACAGTCTCTTTCAAGCAAAAGATCACTTGATGCTACCTCCATTTATTACACACTTTTTTAGGAATCTGTTATCTGTTAGCGTAGAAAATTTTCTACTGTACTCTGATCCTTTCTATTCCCCAACATTTCTAAGTCCAAAAATACTTAGATTTTACAGTTAAGGAACTTCAGTATGGTATATACTTTGAAGTTAATATACTTAGATGTATATTTATTGCAAATAATGTAACCATCAAACACTAATAAACAACAAACATATTTTTATCTCCCTTATATTGACAAAATATTTTTTTCTAAGTATCAAGACCTGAAGGAATTTTCTTTATAATGTATCAAGAACAAGAGAGAAAAAAATTAATTCCACTAAGTTATTTATAGGTAACAAAAATAGTTATTGAACTTTTTAAAGTTAAAAAAAAGTCTCCCTTTGTTATGACTGGTGCTATACAGTAACCTGAATTTCCCAATGCAATTGACTGTATCTGCACATAAATTGAGGACTTGGCTAAGCCTAAGATGGCCCTACTCAAGGTTTTGCTTTCGTTGACCCAGAATGGTATTTCTAGTGAGCAAGAAAGCGAAAACAGAAAAATAAAACCATTATGGGCAATACAGGTTTCTACAGCAGATTTGGGAAACTTGTGGTTAGAATTAAGTCTAGGTCATGCCACAAGAAAATGCAAAACATCTGCATACACCAAAGAAACCTTAAAGTCTCCAAATGTCATCACATGAACTCTTACAGAAGCATCAGCACTACAGAAAGTTCACAGCTGAGCTTCTTTTTAAGTATGTGATAAACTCTTATATTTTCTAAGTGACTCTGAGGAGGAAAGTTTTCTAATTGCAAAGAAGATATAAAAAAATTACCTTAAATCATTACCCAAGTGATTACTTATTAGGAAGTGATCTCACTGCACGTTTGTGTACCTTAAACTGCAGTCTAGTCCCTTCTAGTCTTTATATCCTTCAGTGTCCATGCCACATCTTAATTACTGAAAGCATTTAAGTTTATACATGCGGTTAAAAGAATTATCAACAGCAAAAGAATGTGTTTCACATATTCAAGACCGTCAATTTATTCTCTTCTTGTAATCTTGCCACACATTATTTTCTGTTGGAGAACTGTTCTTCAGAAATATCACACAGTTAACGAATGACTATTACCTTAAAAATGGTTATTTAAATTATTTACTAACAGATGTCCTCTTAAATTACTAATTTCTTTTGGAACTCCATAAAGCTTTATAATGAGACTAGTTAAATAAATGTTTCAGCTGTGACCTGAGGCAGAATTTGTTCCAAACATCATCCTTAGGCTGATAAAGCCTGAAATCAGAAGCTCAGTTCTTCTGTACTGTAACCCTCTTTTAGAGTACGTGAAGGAATTTTCTACTTATTAACATACTTTCACATTTATATTTCCAAAAGAAAGTCTCCTTTTTTTCCATGAGAAACAAGCAAACAAAATGAAAAAAGTTAATTTTTAAAATTCCTCACAAAGTGTTTTTATCCAAAGCCACTCTTCCCACACACCATGCACTGAATGGCAATTGTCTGCCAGGCTTAAGCCAATGCTTGACTCCATATAATGACATTACATCAGGAAACTGCTTGTAGGACTAACCACAAGAGTATACAGAAAAAAAAACTGTTAAAAAAGAGAATCACAAAAATATTCTAATTACTTCAGTTGAATAGCTTGATTTTACTTTTACAATATGACAGTAAGTGTTGTTAGTCTTTAATGTCTGTATTTTTTATTTGGCAAGTAGGACAAAAAGTAATAGAAAAGCGCTTTTGTTTTATCAATACCACTTTTATAACAAATTATGCCTCGAGCATACACAAAGACCCTGCAGCACTCAGACTGGAGGTATGTAATGCCACTTCTACCCATGAGTAAAACTTCTACTCTTAATATAACAAATTCACAGTAGAAAAGTTGATTGTAGCAGAACTATGTAAAAGACTCGCTCTTTTCCCCAAATATGTTTGCTTCAAATGAAGCTGTAACTCGACTAAGCAGCTAGGCCACCAAATTTGCTGCTGTCATGAGAGAGTTAAGATGCTCTCTTCATGTCTTAACAGGCTTCTTTCCAAAATCAGAATAAAAAAGTTATAATCTCAAGTGTTCCTGAAAACTTTTGTGGGGAAGGCAAAACTGTATCTCAAACCCACTAGATTTTTGTAACACAAAACCACATTGGTTTCAAACTGAAAATCAAAGTTACTTGAAAGACAATTGCCCAGAAAGCACTGTGATTTAACATACTGCAAATGGTCTAAAGGGTGTATAAAAGTTGTCCAAGAGAGTCTCATCTAAACAAAAGGCTTTGCATTGTCTTTGGTATTGGTTGATCAGATCACACCTAATTTTCTATGTACTGGATTATTTGTACTCCTACTTTCTTCATTTTTCAAGTAGACCTTGTACACGTTCATAGGAAACTTGTAAAGCCTAAGTCAGCATGCAAAATACTGAATTACAACAAAATACCCGTGTCAGTCAGTGCCAAAAATCCCAAGTATCAATCTCCTTTTTAATCACTGCAGCTTCTTGTATATAAGAAAAAACAGAGGATAGGCCATCCTTTTATGCAGACAGCTTACCAAAATAAGAGCTGTTGGAAATTAGTAGAGGATTGTGAAAGCATGGAGAAATTCAGAGAGGAGAGAACAACCTAGATAAGCAAGAGAAAAACTGCAGTAACTGAGAGTAATTACCTCTTCATTCACAATTTTTTTTTGTATTGTGGTGGTCATCCTTCCACTTTGGGAAAGTAGTAGTTAAAAAAATCAACACACTAAGCCACACCACTAAGAGGCATCCCAATGTCATGCTTTTACTAATATTAATCACTTTTTTTTTTCCTAATTAGGAATAGACTGAAATTTATGTAAAATTTTCAGACTCCAAGTCAGACAATTTGAGTCTCCTGTAATGATTAGTTGAAAGTGTAAAAGGCAAAAGGTCTGGATTGTGATTTGTTTTCTGAGAAATTGTAGTACATTAACATAGTTGGAAGCAAAGTTCAAGCAAAGTGCTATTGAAAACTTGTGATACTAATTTAAGCAGTAGCACTTTGCAGTACAGTATCAGTGCTATAATAATCTTCATTTTTAAAAAAGCAAAATCATCTTTGCTTTGAAAGTACTCAATTCCTTTACTGAAAAAGCAACAAAACACTAAAACACGTTTCCAATGTACAATACCTTCTTTATAGACACATGTGCCTGGCTAAATGCAACTTGAGCCTCCTCTGCTCTTCCACAGATAAAATTATAATGAAATTATAAAACAGTCCCTAACTCAGGAGTACATTTAATATAAGAATTGTTAGAACAGGATTAAATCAGTGTCCAAACATCAACATTTCTATGCATAGAAAAAAGTTTATAAAGTATGATTTTTCCTTCAGCCCAGTTTCTGAAGTCCCAGGTCAAAAATATAGGTCAGGTTCCTACTGTCTCCAAACTTTTTCAAAGTCAGCTTGAATAGTACAAGCCTGACCCATTTTGAGTGGGCCCTTCAAAACTAAAATAATAAATTAGTCAGGTGGCTGCCATCACTTTTCATAATATATTTTTTCTGCATTAAAGGTCTCACATATGAAATACATAAGCATTTGAATTCCATACTTTGAAAAGATTGATGTGAAGAATTTGCATGTAATTAGTTCTGTATTTTATTTAATAATTCCTAGAGTAAACAAGTGTTAAAGGTTGAGCACAACGGAAAAATCATAGCTTTTTCTGATCAGGGTCCACTAGTTCTACTGAAGAAAAGAAGAAACACCAAAAATCAGAACATATAAAGTTAATATTTATTATTATTACTATATTGTTTCCTTCTTCTGGGAAGTAAACAATGAAAATCTTTAAGTCAATTCTAGTATCTTCTTTTGCTAGAACTTGAAACAGAGCAATGAGATGCATTAGGATACAGTTGTGGACAAACTTTTAGTTAGTAAAACTGACCTAAATACTACCCCATGTGGAAATATCAGTTGGAAAATAATCTTCTTACAAATTTCATTGAAGTATTTCAGTAAGAAGAAAAATACTTCTATAATAAAAGTCACATATTGAGATATTTTTAAAAATAGTTTCATTCTGAATTTTAAACAATTTTATTCTGAAAAACAGTTAGCAGGATTTTTTGGTTCATTTTTTTTTCTGTCTGAGTCTGCCTTAAATCCAAACCAATTGTCAATGCAGCAGAAAGTGGCATATATTAGTCCTCTCTAGAAGTTCCTGTTAATACATTTCAAAGTGTTACTTCAGGTACAA